GTGCTGCACACCTGTCTGCTGCAGGCCCGTGTGCTGCAGGCCTGTCTGCTGCAGGCCCGTGTGCTGCAGGCCCGTGTGCTGTGAGCCCACCCCCTGCCCCTCGTTCTGCTGCAGACCCTCCTCCTCCGTGTCCCTGCTCTGCCGCCCCGTGTGCAGACCCGCCTGCTGTGCCCCCGCCCCCTCCTGCCAGCCCAGCTGCTGCCGCCCGGCCTCCTGCGTGTCCCTGCTCTGCCACCCCAGGTGCTCCCGCTCGGCCTGCTGTGTCCCCGACTCGGCCTAGAAGTCCGGCTGCTGACCCTTCCTGCTTTTATCCAGGGTCCTTTCCCTAGCAGGAGGCCACCCTCCCAGCCAGCTGCACCCTCTCTCGCTTTACCAACCACAGGGAACAGAATATGAGCCCCTCCTCCTGGCCCTGCCCCTCATCTCAAGGACTCGAGCTGCTCACCAAGTCCCTTCTGATGCTGGTCCCTTGGGTGCCCCAGGAGACGCACTGCACCCCCTGAACCCTAGGGTGCTGTCCTCACCGCAGCAGGCCTGTTCCCACCCCAGGACGTGACATCACCTCTGAGTCCTAATAAAGCCACCTCCATCTCAACGACCTGTTCTGTCTGTGGATTCACGGTGGCAGGGTGAATGGGACGCCTGGTGCTGGCCTCTGTGACCCCCACAGGCCAGGCCCACTCTGAGGCCTGTAGCCCCCTGAGCTCCAGCACGCAGCCCTGGGGTCCATCTCAAGAAAACTGCCTCTGGACCCATGGCCAGGGGTCGTGGGACAATGGTGGACCTCCGTTCGCTGCAGTCCAGACAGCAGCCTGCCTCGCTCCTCCCTGAAGCAGACCCCGCAGGACAGGCAGCAGGGGCTGCCCCCAGGGCCAGAGACCAAGCTGACTCAGCCTTGTCCACCCTCCTGGCGGCCAAGCCAGGTCCTTACGAAGGGACAAAGTGAGGGTCCCAAGGACAGAGATGTTGCTTGCCTGCTGCGGTCCTAGCGTGTCTGCAGGGGCCCCAGCCTTCATCCTGGGGCTTGAATAAGGAAATGTTCACATCCTGAGACGTAAGGGGGTCATTCTGGCTTGTGCGTGGGCGCCCTTGAACTTGATGCTGACTGAAACAGCATCTGCGGCCCGTCAAACACGCACCGTCCATCGGCTTTAATTATTACAGAAAAGGGCACATTGACCAGGAGTAACGAAGGTCCGTGTTGAAAACGCAGATGAAGCGCCCCTCCCCGGGCGCTGGTGCCGGGCCTCCTTCGATGGTAAGACCCCGCCCAGGTGCTGAGGCCATGCCATCTGTGCCTATGAGACCTTGAACACATGGATCCCTGACTTGTTTAAAGTTCTTTCTTTTGACAAGATACAAAACTCTGCCGAGGGGGAGGATGGAGCTCAGTGGTAGAGCGTGTGCTCAGCATGCACAAGGTCCTGGGTTCAGTCCCCGGTCCCTCCATTAAAAAATAAACAAACAAACAAATATATATGTATATATATTTTAAACTGTGCTGAAAAGCCTGCTTCTCCAGAGCAGTTTCTTGGAGGAGTCTGGGAAGCAGACTTCTGGGCTAGTCCTCAAGTTGGCTCAAATAAAACTCTTTTCTATTCTTACTATATTGATTATTTATTGCTCATTTCTGTCAGGACTCTCAAGTGTCTCCGTGCGCTGGAGGCGACGCTGACACTGCGGGTCTGAGCCCTCCTCCCTGTGGCCTCAGCCACCGCAGGGTCGGACAGCAACGACTCACTCCCTAGACCCTGCACTCGGCCCGGCTGCCTGCGCACTGTCAGCGGCGCGGCCGGGCCCCGAGAGCGCGGCTCCCTGGGACTCCGTCCCCGCCACCTTGGCCAGCACCCCGTTGGATGCTTCCCTCTGCTTCGCCAGGACTGCAGTCCCAGGACAGCCACTTTGGAAAACAGTTTCTCAAAACTTTAGACTTAGAATATGACCCTGCAAGTCCACTTCTGGGCATCTACCCAGAAGAACTGAAAACAGGTGTGCCAGCAAAAACGTGCGCATCAGCGTTCAAGCAGTTCTGCTCACAATAATCCAAAAGTGGAAGCAACCCACAGGCCCATCGGCTGAAGGTGGATAAAAATGTGCCCCGCCGCTCAGTGGAGTATCACTCAGCCACGGAAAGCAGGGAAGCACCGATCACGCTGCAGCCGGCAGAGCCTCGAGAATGTGGCACCAAATGACACAAATGCACTTGTTCACAAGACACAGACTCACAGACACAGAAAACAAACTTATGGTTCCCGGGGGGAACGGGGTGGGTGGAGGGATAAATTGGGAGATCGGGATTTGCAGACACCAACTACTACATATAAAACAGATACACAACAAGGTCTTACTGGACAGCCCAGGGAACTACATTCACTACCTTGTAACAGCCTGTAATGAAAAAGAGCGTGAAAAGGAATATACATACGTACGTTTGACTGACTCACTCCACTGTGCACCAGAAATTAACACAAACTGTAAACTGACCACACTGCAGTCAGAGAAAAGAAACAGAAAAAGGAAAATTCTTCAGGAAAAAGGTGATGTTCAGCGAGGGAAGCCAGACCCCAAAGGCCACGTGGTGTGTGATTCCACTGACAGGAAACGCCCAGAAAGGGCCACTCCAGGGACAGCCCCTCGGAGCCAGGGGACGGGCGAGGGGAGGACGGGAGCCACTGCTGATGGCTTTGGGGGGATGGGTGGTGAAAATGTTCCGAAGGTAAATGACGGTGACGGTTGATGGCCGCACAGCTCCCAATACGGCGACACCCGTAAATTGTGTGCTTTAGTGGGTGGACTTTACAGCATGTGAATTGTATCTCCGTAAATCTGCTGAAAGCAAAACATTCCATTCCATCCCCGGTTCTGATGGATTCCGAGGCTTTTGTCTCCCCTGCATCCGAGTGGAAATCAGTGACTCCGGGGCAGTGAGGGGAGCCCCAGGAGGCCAGCCGTGGCCCGAGTTCCTGAGGCGTTTCCGGGAATGACAGGGCAGAACCCTCAGGCTGACTTAAAAATCAACAGAAAGAAGGAGGTGGTGACAGGACTGTGAAAGATTTTCCCAGGGGACCCGGAGCCACCCCAAAGTGGGTGTCGGCAGGGGCTGCACATGAGGTCAGGCTGTGTGTCACCCTGGGTCCTCAACTCCTGGATTCAAGCTGTGAGGGACACCGCCCCGGGCACCCAGCTGACTCCCAGGGGACACGGGAGAAGAGCTAGCCAGGGTGGGTGGGCCGGAGGGTCCCAGCCAGGGTCACAGGACAGAGAGGACAGGCAGCGCTCTAGGAAAGTTCTAGACAAGGGGAGCCCTGCATCCTGCGGACAAGCTCCCCTCACTCCTCAGGGCCCGGCCGTCAGCTCCCCACGCAGGAGGGAGTGTTTGCCTGTGCAGCGGACGAGGCATCAGCGAGCACTGAACAGCCCAGACCCTCGCTTACAAATAGGAATAATAAGAGTCCCCAGACACTTAGGGAAATCAACACGAAAGGGAAGTAAAACTCTGAACGAACGATAAAGCAAGGAAATGGAGGGCCCACCACTTCCTACAATAAGAACAAGATGCGGGTTTAAAACAACAAAAAAGGAAGGAAGAAAAGAAGGAAAGAGGCAGAGGGGAGGGAGGGAAACACTCAGAGTTCCTGGAAACCAAAAGCATGACTCTCCGAACAAACAGGAAACCAACAGACAGTCTGCGCATGGACTGCACGTGGTAAGAGGTGACCGGGAAGATCAGGCAAGGATTTTCCCAGAATGCAACGCGGGACAAAGAGACGAGGATGGGAAGAGGCTAACCACAAGGCGGGTACGTCCAGGGGACCCAGTATCTGTGATCCTAACCTGCGCTGCCGCAGGAGACACAGCCTCCGGGACGGGAGGAGGTAATCCTGCAACAGAGCAAATGTGCCTTGCGCTCAAAGACGGTGTGAACGAGGTCGAAACAAGCCAGCAAAGGCCTGCAACAACGTCCGGAGCGCGGGGCGTCTGGGGACATTGAAGAGCGACACGACGGACACAGCTCCACAAGGTTCCAGGAGAAGTGGCCACCGAAAGAACCAGTCGTACCAACAGGAGACCCACCAGCGGGGCCACCTCTCCCCGACGCGGAGGGCGACCCACCCTGCCCCAGGCTCAGCCTCGCACCCTTCAAACACCAGGAACCCGGGACGTTTACTACCCAGGAGGCTTCCGAAACTGCCACTCGGAAGAGTACTCGTTTCTCCTACAAAACGAACAGTGGCGCTGCCTTCCCAACCGTCCACAGCGCGCTCACAGGTGCCCGGCACGGCGCCTCAAGCCCAGAGAGCAGGGCCCGCAGAGGTGTCCTCCGGTGACAGCACGGCCGTCGGTCCCGCTTCCTAAGTACATGCTCACCCACTGGGAAACTTTAAAATCCTTTTCTACGTGACTTCTGATCGATGGTGCAACTAAGATGGACATGACAGACCATCGAGAAGCTAATGCCCCTGAAAACAGCGGGCGCCAGAAGCGAGAGGAAACGGCGAAGCGGCGCGAACAGACATCTACTCTCTCCACTGTACGGGCTGGAAAGCAAAATGTAAGCATTCAACTTAGTCAGCCAGGGAAGACGCCTCAAAAAATGTTTAAAGAGTAGGAGAAAGGAGCTCTAAAAGATTTAAAGTAAAAACTAATGAAATAAAAAACAAAGACTGTCACTTTAAAAATACCGATAAAATGTTAAAAACTCTGGCAAGTCTAATAAAAAATACGTTAAAAATGGGAGAAAAGAATATGCTCGCAGATTCAGATTATTTTTGTTTTTAAGTATAAGAAGGTAGCATGAGTATATTTATCCTAAAATTTGAAAATACGAATGAAATATACCATGTTCAAAAAACATGTAAACTACCTACATTGGCTGACAAAATGAAAGAAAAAATTTTAGTCCAATAGGATTATTACCTTTATTTGGCAAATATACTGAAGATCTGTTCTGTTTCACATATGGAAATAGATTTTTTTTCCTAGTCAAACAAATTTTATTGAAAAAAATTTTAATACAACACAATCCAAAGAAAAGTTGAAAAGATGTTGAAAGATCTGATTCTCCAAAAGGCACAGACTCAGTTCTCAAGGTGTAGGGAACCCATCAGCCTTCAGCACGGAGGCCTTTCCTGTAATACTGCAAACATCCAGAGCTCAGAAAGAAACAGAAGTTTTCTGGGCTTATCTCATAAGGCTGGCAAAACCCCGATGCCAAAACCAGCCAGGAGAGAGAGAAACTG